GCGGGTACTGAGGGAGGCAGGTTCCCCAGGGACCTCACGAGACTTCCATCCATCCTCACCCACCTCATGCTCCTCCTTCTCCTCCTTCTCGTCCTCTCTCCTCCTCCTCCTCCTCTCCTCCTCCTCCTCCTCCTCCTCCTCCTCCTCCTCCTCCTCCTCCTCCTCCTCCTCCTCCTCTTCCTCCTCCCTCTCTTCATATTCGGTCCTGAGGGAGGCGGGTCCCAGCATTCTCCGGCCGTCTTCGGGCCCCGAGGCCCTCGGCGGGCCCCCAGTAGCGTCACAAACAACTGCTCGGGAGCGGGTCCCGAGGGAGGCGGGCCCAGAAAGGCTGTGGCCGTCCTTCGGGCTCCTGGGACCCTCAGACGGGCCCCGGGGCCGTCATAAAACTGCTTGGGGTGAAGCACGGGTCCTCGGGGAAGGCCCACGGGGTCCAGGGCCCGTTTGCCTCAGGACCCGCTTCTTTCGTACCGTGCTCTTGCTCGAGTGCCCAGGGCGTTTGAAGAAAAGTGTTCATGGGCCTAGGCTCTCGGAGCTCCAAGAGTTGCTTTTGCTCATTTCGACATTTCTTCGTCTCGGTGCTGCACGCGCTTGTTTCCTTGGGGGGCCTCCGCGGAGGATTCTGGGGACATGTGGGGTCCCCCAGGGACCTCACGAGACCTCCCTCCTCCCTTCTGTTCCTCCTCCTGCTCCTCCTTCTCCTCCTTCTCGTCCTCTTCCCTCCTCATCATCATAATCATCATAATAATCAGAATCATCCTCATACTCGTCGTCGTCGTCGTCTGAATCAACATCGCCATCACCATCACCACCACTACCACCATCACCATCATCATTATCATCATGAGCAGCATAATCGCAATAATAATAATCATAACAATAATAATAATAATAATAATATTAATAATAACAATAATTTTCATAATAATAACAATAATGATAATAAAAATAATAATAGTCATCGTCATCATCATCATCATCATCATCATCATCATCAGCAGCATCACCATCATCATCATTAGCAGTATAAGCATCATCTTCATCGCCAGCATCATCAGCAGCAGCAGCATCATCGTCGTTATCATCGTCATCATAATCGGCATCATCAGCACCATCACCACCACCACCATCACCACCATCATCAGCAGCATTATCAGCATAATCTTCATTGTTAACGTCACCGCCATCGTCATCGTCATCATCGACATCAGCAGCATCATCATCTTCACCGTCGTCATTATCGTCATGAGTGTTATCATCACCATGATCAGCAGCAGCATCCTCATTCGTTTCCTCCTGCTCCCTCCGCGTCCTCGCCCCCTCCTGCTCATCCTCTTTCTACTCCTCCGGTGAGGCGTCCAGCCCTTCGAGCGAATGGCTGTAGGGCGGGCACGCGTGGACAAGCGAAGGTAGTCGCTCGGACAAAGCTGGAGGAGGAGGAGGAGGAGGAGGAGGAGGAGTCGACGGTCACGATCCCTAGTGAAAAGTAAAATGCGATGGGTCCCCAGCCCGTCCGCCTGCCAAGAGGTCGTGGATCCACTCTACCTTTTTTGCTCCCTCCTCTTCCTCCTTCTCCTCCTCCTCCTCCTCCTCCTCCTCCTCGTCGTCGTCTCTTACAACGCAGGCACCCGTCGCATGAGGCACCTCCGAGGGCTGCCGGTACTTGTTGGGCCCGCGGGTACTAGCGAGGCAGGTACCGGTTAACAGCGGGAGGGGCGCTCCAGAAACGAAGTGCGGCACCGAAGGAGCCGGGCAGAGGACAGAGGCGGAAAAGACAGAGCCGCGGTCAGAACATGAAGTCCTCCACGCGATCGTTTTCTTATTCATTGTGTTGCCGATCGGCGCGGGCCCTCGTACTCCTTCCCCTCCCCCCCCGCCATCGTGGAGGTCTTGGCTGTTTACGGCGCCTGTTTCAAGCAGGCGGAGTCTCCCCCCTAGCACGCACTGCTGCAAACAGCGGCATTCAGCAGAGGTCCGGAGCCAGACCCCCCCCTCCCCCCCCTTCCGCGCCCAATGTCGAAGCGCCGAATCAGAAAACGTTCACCACGCGCGCGACGGAGATTCACAGTTTACCAGCCTGGAACATATCCCTATCCTTATGCTGGGCACCTCCTCATCACGATGCCAATATGAGGGAATCCCTTTTTTTTTTGAGGGCGAATCCCTAAGATTGTCATCGCCTTTTGGCGTGTCAATCTTAGGGATAGGGATACGTTCGAGGCTGGTAAACAGTGAGCAGGTAGAGCTGGTCCGCGAAGGGCAGGCAGGGCTGCCGACGCACGTGCGCCAGCGGCTGCCCCCGCGACGGGGGGTGGGCGGGGGGATGTGGGGCAGGGGCGGGCGAGCGGGAGAGCGGGGCGAGAGGAGGAGGAGGAGAGGAGAGGAGGAGCAAGAGGAGCAAGAGGAGCAGAGGAGCAAGAGGAGCAAGAGGAGCAAGAGGAGGAGGAGGAGGAGGAGGAGGAGGAGGAGGAGAGAGGAGGAGGAGGAGGAGGAGGAGGAGGAGGAGGAGGTCCCCCTTCCCCTCCCAGGGGGTAGGAGGTTTCGGCAGGGGAGGGCGCAGTCGGTCGGGAAGGAGTGGGGCGAATGGAGGGAGAGCAGGAGGATAAGGAGGAGGAGGAGGAGGAAGAGGAGGAGGAGGAGGAGGAGGAGGAGGAGGGGGAGGGAAAAGGAGGAGGAGCAGGAGGAGGTAGTCCCTCCTCCCCCTCACCCCTCCCAAGCAGCCACAACGTGAGGGACCTGGGGGGGACCCACCGTATCGGCGATCCCTCGAGAGAGGTGTCGAATCCGATGGATCCCCTTAAGGGGGCAGCGACAATCTCGTCGGCCCTGCCTGCGGCGTGCTACGGGGCCCATCGAGTCGCTGGCAGACCATCGGTCGATCACAACTCGTTTGGAGGACCACAGCTCACCCAGCCGGGGAGGGCCCCCCATGGAGGCCGAAAACGGGGAGAATCTCCAGTTTGTTTTATCAACGCGTTGGATTACTCAGGAAAAACAGTGGCAAGCACCGCGACAACGACAGTCTGGCAAAGCCCCGGCGGAGCTGGCCACTGGGCATTCAGGGCTCGAAGCCGACTCCACGTCCGTCCACCCGCGCCTCGCGCAGGCAGCCGAGATCACGTCCGAGACCCCCTGGGATCCGACGACGCGGAAGCACAAAACGTTGCATTAAATCACGACCAGAGCAACATATGCCCCGACTTGCGGCGGCACTTCTCGAGCCGAGGCGATGTGTGGCGGCCCCAGGGCCGCAACCGGGCGACGGTGCCCGGTGCGAAGGAACTGCGGCGCCATGATCTCAGGGTCCGAACCCCGTCGCGCGGGGCGGGGAAGAGGAGGAATCCTTTCCAGAGCGTTCCAGAACGCTCTCAGAGCGTGCCGGAACGTTGGAGGCACGTTTGGGGGGCCTCTCTGGAGCCACTCGCGCCACTCGTGCGTCGAAGCTGCGTCGAACCTGAGTCGAGCCTGAGTCGAACCTGAGTCGTACCTGAGTCGAACTTGAGTCGAACTTGAGTCAAGCTGGAATCGAACTAGAGTCGAACAGATCTGCTAGGTGGTCCCCAGGAAGGTCCCCAGAACGAGCATCTAGGGAACGTTCTGAGAAGGCCGCGGCGCCCGAGACAGCCTCCAGAGCCGCCGGATCTCGGAGACTATCGATGATCCTCGCCCGATGCTGTCCTCGTCCTGGCTTCGTCTCACCCCGACGTCACGATTTCTGACGCCGTGGACCCCCAAAGGCCCGGGACCGTTCCCGAGGGCCCGATTTTTTTTTGTCTTGAGCCGGCGTCTGCTGGTTCTGGAGCCAGGCGAGGACCCCCAGAGGCCGAACATTGTGAAGAACGTCCGTCGCGGTTTTCTCCCAACAAGTCAGGGGATCAAGAGGTCATGGTAATGATACGTTCCAAGCTTAGCTGCCTCGATACGCCCGCTGTGATACGCAACAGGTACCGTGCTTAAGACTTCCGCGTCAATACGTTGCGAGTTGGCTCAGCGTATTGGCCCACGCTTTGGCGAACGTACCGCGTCAGACCTACGTTTTCAGTACATATGTTGAGCTCCGTTTCAGCACGCTACGTGTTGCGTGTTGCGTATTGGGGCAGCTGAGGTTCCAACTTGTCCAGGTTTCCCTAGATTTCCGAGTCTTCCACACGGGTCGCAGAAACGAGGGCCGCTAAATACTTTGGAAATCCTGAAACGCATCCTGAGCCAATCTTATCATGATAACACTCTCGCCCTAAATAAAAGGAAAGGCGCGTGAGCATACCATTTTTGAAGGTCCGCGCGGATTTCTTGGATCGGTGCTGGGCCCCCCTGGCGGCGCCTCAAGCGCCGCCCCTGGCGCTCTCCGCGCGCCAGGGAGGGGGCCCCAGCGCCAATCCAAGGAAATCCGCGCGAACCCCCGACAGCGTATGCTATAGTGATTTGCTGTCCTTCCGGGCGCGAGGGTGTCAGGCCGCCCCCCTCGGCCACGCGCAGAGGGGGGCAGGGGGAGGGGCGAAGGCTTCTTAGAAGCAGCCCTGCTTCTCAGAAGGCGCTGGCCTTCACTATATAGACGTAAGACCGGGGCCTTTTAGGAAGCAGGATGCTTCTCTGAGGAACCTTCCCCCCTCCCCTCTGCCCCCCCCTTGCGCGCCGCCGACCCCCGGGCAGTCGTCCGGCCATGGGATCCCCCACGATTCGTAACTATGGGGAAAGCCTGGCATCACCACACCACAAAAGGGTGCTCTTCGTGGTGATTCCCAGTTTCCCGTCCTTCGCAGGCCAAGAAAGCATGGTCGGCGTTGGAGCCGAAATCTCTGGCTTCTGTCAATTGTGGGGATTGTGTGCGAAACTCCCACTTCACGGTCTGAGTCCTTCCTCCCTCCTTCCCCCTCGACTCAGGTTCTTTCTCGGCGCTCCGGCGCCAGCGCCAGGCTCTAGCCGTCCCCGCCGGGACGACTGACCGGCGCCTCGCCTCGCCTCGCCTCGCCTCGTCCTTCGCAGGCCTTCCCCCCCCTGCCCCAAGGAGCGCGTCCTGCCTTGGTACCGCGAGCTGCACCGCCCCGACGCACACGGCCGCAGCCGCTACAGCGCGCTGCTGGAGCGTGTGGTGGCCGGGCTGCTCGGCGCGCCACGCCCCGCGCCGGCTGCCGCTGCTCTCGCCGCCGCCGTCGCTGTTCTCATCGCCGTCGCCCTCGTTCCAAGAAGAAGATGGATGGCAAGAAGAGGAACGACACAACGACACAACTGGTTAAAACGCAAGACACATAAACACAAACACGGACGCATCTACTTACATATATATATATATATATATATATATATATATACGCATACATATACATATACATATACATGTACATATTCATATAAATATATACATGTATACATGAATATAATATAGGCAGGGGGTCCCGGGGGCCCTGGAGTTGACTGATTCGGTATCCAGCCGTTTTGGACATGTCAGGGGCGCCAGAAAGCGTCATAGGAGGGGAAAGGGGGGCGACGAGAGGGCCCAAGAGACGTCCAAGAGGGCGCCAAGATGGCCCAAGAGCGCTCCAAGAGAGCCCAAGACCGCACAAGAGCGTTTCAATATTGGTCCAACATGGTTTGAAGACAGCACAAGAGGCCTCAAGACGGCCAAGATGCCTTCAAAAGGACTCCCACGAGGCCCTCAGGAGGCGGAGCAAGTTGTTGTTTGTTTCGAAGTTGTTTGAAGGTTGTTCGTGTTCTCGCTATTTCGTGCTTCCGACGGTCCAAGACAGCCCACGAGGCCCCAGAAGTCAGCTCAAGACGGCCCAAGAGGGCGCCAGGACGGCGCAAGAGAGTCCCAAGACGGCCCAAGAGAGCCCCAGGCGGCCCAAGAAGCGCCCGAGATCGCCCCAGAGGGCCCCAAGACGGCCCCAAGAGGGGCCCACGAGGGGGAGCACGAACCGACAATTCGAGCCTTCCGCCCCAAGAGGCCCCCAGGAGGCCCCAAGAGGTCCCCAAGAGAGACCAAGAGGCCCCTTGGAGGCCCCAAAGAGGCCCAAAAAGAGGCCCCGAGAGAACCCCTGACGGCCCCCAAGAGGCTTTTCAAACTGCCTTCAAGAGGCCCCCGGGAGGCCTCCCACGAATTCCAAACGAACTTCCAAGAGGCTTCTAACCAACAACCAAGGCACGGTTGCGGGATGGGCCGAAGGCCACTATCCGCCGCCCCCTGTTGATTCATCACAGGGGTGCCTGGCGTGCTAGACCCTTTCGGTTTTGGTTTTGGTTATTTGTTCCAAAAAGAACTCCTGGGGCTTCGGCTCGTCCCGCCACCGTACCCAAAATGGCCGGAAATCTGCACAACGCCGCCTCCAAGACGGCCACGATGACCCAAGATGGCCTCCAAGTTCGCCCAAGACGGAGAAGATGGCCCCAAGAGAGCCCAAGATGGCCCCAAGATGTTTCCAAGGCGGCCCGAGATGCCCCCAAGATGGCCTCAGATGGCCTCAAGATGACCCAAGACGGCCCAAGAGGCCCCCAAAACGGCCCAAGAGACCTCCAAGTGCCGAAATCATTGATTGTCATTAGGTTTTTGAAGGTTTGTTGCATCTTCTTCTCTTCAGCTCTCCGACGGCCCAAGACAGAGCAAGAGGCCCCCAACATCGCCCCAAGAGCGCCCAAGAGCCTTCCAAGATGGCCCCATGACAGCCCAAAAGGCCCCCAAGAGGGCGCCAAGAAGGCCCCAAGACGCCCAAGATGGCCTCCAAGACGGCCCTGAGGCGCCCCAAGAGGGCCCCAAGTCGGTTCAGAGAGGCCCCCAAGACGGCTTCCGAAAGCGTCAGACGGGCCAGGAAAGCCCTAAGACGGCCAAAGAGGCCCCCAAGAAGCCCCCAGCAGGCCCAAGGAGGCCCCCAAGAGGCCTCCAAGAGGCCTCCATGAAGCTCCCAGCATACCCCAAGAGTGCCCCAAGAGGCTCCCAAGAAGTCTCCTCCTCCTACTCTTCCTCTTTCTCTTCCTCTTCGTGTTCATTCTCCCCCACATGTTCCACGATGGCTTTCCAAACCGACTCGGGGAACTCATGGTCCGATAGCTTGGCCAAGCTCTAGCCCAACTTTCGGCCACATCGGCGTTTCCGAAAAGGCAGGGGGCGGCGGTGATTCGCCGTAGGCGTCTTCGATATTGCCCAAGACGGCCTCCAGTCGGCCCAAGAGGCCCCCAAGATACCCAAGAGGCTTCCAAGAGGTCTCCCAACAGAGCTCGAAGAGGCAAAAAAACAGTTATTGCCCACAGATGTTTGGAAAAGTTTGGCGTTTCCGCTTGTTCCGCTTCCCGACACTGCAAAACGTCCCAAGAGGCTCCGAGGATCGCCCCAAGACAGCCCAATAGGCTTCAAAAGTGCCCCAAGACGGCCAAATAGGTTTCAAAAGCGCCGAAGAGACGTCCAAGACGGCCCGAGAGGGCCCCAACCGCGGCCCAGGATCGGGAACGTGAACCGTGAACCCGAGATCTTCGCCCCAGGAGACCCCCAGGAGGCTTCAAGAGGTCCCCACGAAGCCCCAAAGAGGCCCAAAAGAGCCCCGAGACAGGCCCCGAGGGCACTTGAGAAAACGGAAATTCCAGCATGTTGTTTGTAAAGTTTGCCTGGCAGCTTCGCTACATACGCTTGCACAAATTAGCCCGGCGAAGGACTCAACCATATGCAGCTGCGAGTGCCGCGAGGGAGATGAGACGAAGAAGGGGGGCGCGCAAACTCCGAGTAGCGCACGCGGTATAGCCTTCTGCCACGAAACGTGTGAAGGGTGTGCCGACATGAGTCGGGAGGACGCTTGCGAACGTCGCCATTGGGGCATTCCGGGAGCTCCTTTTGGGGCCACGAAGCGTGTGAGGTGTGCAGAAATGGGGCGGCGTTGCCATGCGAACTTGCCCGCTGGGGCCTTCGGTGGAGCTCCCTATGGGGCCACGAAACGTGTGAGGGGTGTGCCAGAATGGGGTGGCGGTGCCATGCGAACTTTCCCACTGGGGCCTTCCGGTGGAGCTCCATATGGGGCCACGAAACGTGTGAGGAGTGCGCCGACATGGGGTGGCGGTGCCATGCGAATTGTCCCACTGGGACCTTCGGTGGAGCTCCTTGAGGGGCCATGAAACGTGTGAGGGGTGTGCCGAAATGGGGCGGCGGTGCCATGCGAACTTTCCCACTGTGGCCTTCGGTGGAGCTCCCTATGGGGCCACGAAACGTGTGAGAGGTGTACCGAAATGGGGCGGCGGTGCCATGCGAACTTTGACACTGGGGCCTTCGGTGGAGCTCCTTATGGGACACGAAACGTGTGAGGGGTGTGCCGAAATGCGGCGGCGGTGCAATGCGGACTTTCCCATTGGGGCCTTAGGTGGAGCTCAAGTGTGAGGGGTGTGCCGAAATGGGATGGGCATGCGGAGAGCAGAGGCAAGGAGGGGAGGATGAGGAGGGGGAGGAGGAGGAGGAGGGGGAGGAGGAAGGAAGGAGGAACGCGGGGCGCGGTCTCTTCAAAACGAGGACCGGACACAGGATGGTTGGGAAAAAAGGAAATATCAGATTTCCTCCTCCTCCTCCTCCGGTTCTCCTCCTCTGCGGCTTCCCCCACCCTCTCCAACTCCTCATTCTCCTTCTCCCCCAGGAAACCATTCACCTCCCCTTCTCCTCCCTCTTCCTCCGGCTACGTCCAGTCGCGGCGAATAAAGGGCCCCCGAAATGCCTTCTGGGTCTGTCTTAAGCCGCCGTGGGTGGACCGTAGGAAGTCTTGGAGCCCACTTGGGCCGTCTTCGTGGTTTTTGGAAGCCCTGGAGAAGTGTCATGGCATAGAGATCCCCAAGAGTTCGACCATTTAGCCTAGCTAGAACTTCAGCGCTCATGAAGCGCGCGATGGTTATAGTGTGTATCTACACACTATAACCACACTGTATCTACACACTGTACACATTCGTATACGAATACATATGCATATACCCGAACATGTACATATGCACATGCATATGCATATACATGTACGTCTACTCATACATATACGTACACGTATGCCGATGTATATACATACAAATACATGGTCACGCACGCGTGATGTTACATGCACATGTGCATGATGTGCATGTCCATATGCACAGACATACGCACGCACATGTACAGGTACAGGTACAGGTACATGTGCATGTTCATGTGCATGCACATATACGTGTGCGCATACATGCACATACGCATAATTATATATATGTGTATGCACACATAGGCTTACAGATACATCAGCAAGTACACCTACAAATTCATATACATTCACATGGACCTAGACACAGGCACATACACATACACATGCATAGACAAGATGATACTGGCTAGATTCGCTTCGGCTGTAGGGTCCATGGATCACGCGAGGCTGACAGGACCCATGGGCTCTGCAGGGTCAGAGGGCTCAAAGGCCTCTCCGCCGCCAGTGGGGCTCAGAGGCTCGGAGCCTCAACTGGGAAGAGGGGTACTTCAGCCAGCACGGCTCATGGGAATCATGAGGTTCCGAGGGCCCGCAGGCGTGTTTGGGCGCACAGGGTTCATCGGGCTAGTGAACTCGTTCGAGTTCTAGAACTCGTAGGGGCCGTGGACAAAAAGAAGTCACGGGCTCGTGGACCCCATAGCGGGCGGGTTCGTCGAGCTCATGAGACTCATGGGGTTCATAGTGGTCATTGTGCCCACCGTGTTCATAAGGTTCACAGGGTTCATAACGTGTTGTGGGGATCATAGGGCTCATATGGCTCATGGGGCTCATACGGCTCATAGGACTGTGGAGGTTCCTTGGGGCCATGCGCTTCGTGGGGCCCGTGGGGCTGATACAGCTTAAAGGGCTCGCAGGGCTTGTGAGGCTCATAGGCGACAGAGGGCTCACTGGGCTTCTAGGGTTCATGAGGCTCGTCGGGCTCACATGGCTCAGAGGGCTCATAAGGTCATAGGATCACAGGCGAAACAGGGCTCAGAGGGCCGATAAAGCTCATAGGGCCCATCGGGGTCATGCGGCTCGCACGGCGGATAGGGCTCACAGGGACCATAGGGCTCATACGGTTCATGGTGGCCATTAAGGCTCATAGGGACCATAGGGCTCGCGGCACTGAGGACGTCGATGTGTTCGCAGGGCTCGACGGG